TTATAATCAGTGACGCTGTCTACACTGGATGCGGCGCGACATTAAACTGATGCCTTGTTCTATTTATGACGTACTGACACAAAGTTACAATTATTTGCAACGGTCGCTTTGTCGCGTCCAGTGTACAGTAGAGCTGTTGCGGCGCAGCGCGACAACTGTAGCGTCCGGTATAGACACGGTGAGTGAAGCCGAGATCAAGATATGCCTTGTCATATTTTCTGCATTTAGCTTTTAAACGACCCGCACCTGCCTGGGTCTGTGCGACTTCATCTATGGTTTTTCTCTTCGCTTTCACAAACCGATCCATCTCCCATTCTAAGTTACGTCCTTTGGCTGTTTACTGTTTTATTTCTTTTCTTTTTCTGCTGATGGCCCGCGCTCGACTTGAAGCAGCGCTGCTTAGACCGATGGGTGTGTCATCAAAGTACTGCGAGAGCTATAAGAGAGCGCGGACGTCTCCTTATGCTTTCTCTCGCCGTACTTTGATGTCATACACCGATCTGATCTTCAAGCGGAACACACCTCTTCACTCTCGCGTGTCACGTGACCGAGTGTAATTGCAGCCTCTGCGATTGAAAAAACGCGTTCTCTCATATCGCGATATTATCGCAAATGCAATTAATCGTTCAGCCCTAGAGTGGACACGCCCCCAGCGTTTGAGAGCAAAGAATACTGCTTATTTTTTCAAGATTGTGGTAACTTATTTTATTTACTTGGCTTTTTTATCATTCAAATTTGGCTGGGTTGTTAACACATTTTTCTGTGGTGTGAAACTCAGAACACATTTAATATTGCTTTACACAGACTTTAAATTCATAATTATGACTATCAAAGCATGATTCTTAGGTGGTAGAAATTAATTTCTGAAATGTCACAATAGGTTCTCCTATCCCAACTTAATATACAGAAATAGCTAGAGGTGAGCAATTTGTAGGATGATTTCACCTAAAAAATAAAAAAAACGGCACGACTATCAGTTTGTCAGATCAGATGGGGAGTGTGTTTGGTAAACCTGTTTGAAAACATTTTATTTTTGCAATTCCATTTAGACATTAAAGCGACACACTGAAAGGGTTTGTGGTTTCAATTTACAGTAAGATCTTACCTATACACTCCAGTTTCTTCTGAGGACAATAGTCTCTATACAGAAGCTTCAGCTCCTGCACCGCTGACTCGTATGGGTAGGAACCGTGCAGCACAGCTGGGTCTCTGGGGAACAGTTTGGATGGTACACCAACATCACCAGGTGACACATTACGATGAAAACGCATGCTGCTCTCAACAGCCAGCTCCCGTTCTCGATACACCTTCCTAAAGCATCACCGCAACACAAAGGACAAATAAGTCATTTATATGCAATTATCTAAACCATACAGCTTCTATGAAAGTGCTTTGATGACTAAGAGCATTTTGGGAGCAGTTGTAAGGGAAGATGGTTATTTTCAGCCATACTGGGACTACTGAATGTTAGATTAATAGTGCCATCTACTGCTCAGTGTCTAGACAATTCATATGACTCCGTAATCTCTGCCATTTAAAGTAGTAATTTGAATATTCTAGATTTTGAATAAGGACATTTTTTTTTCTTGTATTTATTTAATTAAAATAAAGTATTTACTTCACATAAGTACAATTGAAAAATGTATTTTAAAAATATGTTCAATCCAAATCTGTGCAACAGGGGATTAACCAAATTCTTGTTATATACTAGTCATTAAATAAGTTAGAAATTAATACTTTTATTAAGAAAGGATGCATTAAATTGATCAATAGTAACAGTAAAGACATTTTTAAAGACATATTTTAAATAAATGTTATTTTTCTATTCATAAAAGAATTCCCAGAAAAGCAGTTTCCACAAAAATATTAAGCAGCACAACTGTTTTCAAATTTGAAAAGAAAGGTTTCTTGAGTAGCAAATCCGCATATTAGAATGATTTCTGAAGGATCATGTGACATTGAAGACTGGATTAATGGCTCCTGAAAATTCAGCTTTGCCATCACAGAAATAAACTACATTTTCAAATATAAATTTTAAATTGTTATAAGACTATACAACTGTATATAATCAGTACTACTGTATATAATCAAGTAAATCAGACTTGGTGAAAAAAAAAAAACACCACTCATTGACCTCAAACTTTTGAATGGTGGTATATGTTTTTAAAAATGTATCTTGTGACCTACCTAAAAAGTGCCGACAGAGGGCACCAAATAGGGGTGAAGAAGACTTCCTCTATACTCGCCACGCATTGGTCCTTAGAATTTGCAGTGTTGAGACATTCAAAGGACAGAAGACACAGAGACAGCAGGCGATCTGTTTTACACAAAGATAAATCCATTTACCATAGACAATCAGCCAACTAGTCCATTTCATTAAAGGACCTTTTTACAAACACGTTTATGGTGGATTATGATGCTCAGGCGTTGGTTACACCCTGACGCAGTATAAACACATGATGCAACCATACAGATCCCACTGGCTATAACAGGGGATTTCTAAAAATGCTGAACTCACATGTTGCACATACATATCTAGAGTCACAACTAAGGTCTCAATCACACAAGAACAGACATTTATTTACCAATAGAAATGTGGATGTCTTTGATGATGGCCTTCAAATGTTCCTTCAAAGCACGATCCTCAAGATGATGAACATGAGACTCTGGGTCTATGTGTGTTGTGTCGAAGGTCACATCAGAGTCTGTATCATCACCACTGTGAGAAGGAACCCAGTCCAGCTGAGTAAGAAACTTCTCTAGATCCTCAAAAGAGTTCTCCCTATCTGTAGAGACCACAGTTGAGGACTCATCCGGGTCTGTCTCAGACTTTGTGTTGTTGGCATTGAGGTCGTGGGATGGGGAAAAAGAGATGGAGGCATCAGATAAGCTGTGTGTCATAGCAGATTTGAGCGGGCTCTGCTGCTGCTGTGGAGAGATTGGACTGTCGGACAGGAGCAGGCTTTGGGCACTGCGGGAGGGCTTTAAGGGTAGTGAGTGACCAGGTGCTGTGCTCAGAGGAACACACTGGCTCACTATAGGATACAGTCTGTTATACACCCGATACTGAAGCCTCTTCAGCAACTTCATGACTGGGTGGTCTGGGTAGCTGGGATCGGGAAAGAAAAGAAACACATGACATAAGATACGGAAGAAACACTTCTGCTTGCAGATGATCTGACAACATGAACCTACCTGAGAAGACATGAGATAAGACCTGAAACCAACGTTGGATCATTTGGATTCTTTTTCAGATTAGCTTTCCAAATTTTTGGCCATTCCTATGATTAAACCAATAAAATCATTATTTATACATTTATGTATATACACTAATGTTCAGTCAGTATGATTTTTTTTTTTTTTTAAGAAATTAACACTCTTATACAGCAAGGATGCATTACACTGATCAAAAGTGACCGTAAAGACATGTATAGTGTTACAAACGACTTGTTTCAAATAAATACTGTTCTATTCATCAAAGAATCTTGAGAAAAAAATAAAAGATAGTTTCCACAAAAATATTAAGCTGCACAACTTTTTACTACAATGATGATAATAAGAAATGTTTCTTAAGCACCAAATCAGCATATTAGAATGATTTCTGAAGGATCATGTGAAACTGAAGACTGGAGTAATGATGCTGAAAATTGAGTTTTGCATCACAGGAAATAAAATGTTTTAAAAATATTAAAATAGGAGTCATTTAAGTTGTAATAATATTTTACAATATTACGTTTATTACTGTGTTTATCAAATTAATGCAGCCTTGCTGAGACTTTTTTAACAAACAAAAAAAAATGTGTATATATATATATATATATTAAAAAAAATTATCATAACCTAAATGTTTGAATTGAAATTATTATTAAACTTACATGATCTTGCTCATATTCAAGTACACTTGCATACAGAACCCGCTGCTCTTGTTCCTCAGCTGTCATGGTCCCACAGGTCACAAACCTCCTGCAAAAACACACCCATTTCATGCACCCAAATTAACATTGTATAATTAAAAAAAAAAAAAAACTGTTGGGCATTAAACAGCTTTAATGTGTTTACATAATTCTTTTGCTATTACACGGTATTGTGTCATGCACAACACCACAAACAACAAATATGAAACAGGCAAAACTCATAATACTACATTTGCAAATAAATAGCCAGCTAAACAACTTTATATGGCCTATGGGCCAAGAAGGCTCACCTGTTGGCTTCTTCCTGCAGCCTGAGTCTCCTTTCCTCCATTTTTCTTTGAAGCTGCAAGAGCTCAGGAAAACTCCCAAACATTTGAAAAATTACCACACTCAGAAAAAGATATCAGCAGAAGGCAAACCTTGCACACAGCACATTGATTAAACATTCACCCAACATGCTTAAAGTTTAGTCTTTGGTTTTTCACATGTCCACATTCTAGTATCAACGAGGCAGTGCTTTAAGCTTTCAGTAAATCGCAAAAAAATTTGAGATTTTGAAAAGAATTAATTAGATTTCACTTAAGCAACATTAAATACTTTTTTAAAATAAAATAAACTACAAATACTATGATTCAATGCAACTTGCAAATAAAACTTAAACTGAGCATTGACATTTTGAACAACAGACGCCTATGGTTTGCAAAGAAAGAACAACAGGTCACAGAGGCGTTGACCTTCCAACCCTAAACTTTTCCTCCCAAACACTCGTGACACATGCATCTCAAAGGTCAAACACTGATACACTTAAAATAGACATCAAAAACCCTTTGATAATCTTATGTTATAACCTCTACAACAGCATAAGTGATTGACAGAAATTATTGATGGAAAGAAAATAGACGTAACAGATACGGTAGCAAGAACAATCCAATTACAGCCACCATTCACTAAATTTTAACACCTGTCCAATTCAAGGCTGATTTTACAACAGAATCGCAATGCAATGCATTTAGGTGGAAAATCTGAAACCAGATCTTAACCAAAGCCACAGCTCAAGAAATGGTTAAGGATACTGCATCTTGCCTGGCTTTGGCTATTATCAGATTCTCCATCATCTGCCTCTGGAGTGAGAGAGTCTAAAATAAGAAAAAGAAAAAGACCAGTGTTATACAAGTAATTATTTCAGTTTCAACTATATTAACATTTACTCACTGGAAGAAGAAAAATAAAATGGAAGAAATTTACATGACAAAGTGCATATAGTTTTAAACATAATACTGCAGCTTTAAAAGGAGGGAATTAAACAAACTCCCAGCACACTAAATATTCAGTTTGAAAACATCCACCATTTCCAATCACAAAAACTAAATTACTTTAACTGGTCACCAGTTCTTCCCTATTTGTAAATCACATTTTTGCCAAATTAATTTAAAATAATAATTTACATTTAGCAGATGCTTTTATCCAAAGCGACTTACGAATGAGAATAATCCTGTAGTGTCAAATGAGCTTTCAAAAATACAAAAGTAGCGTATCAATCAAAATTAAGTTAAAAAGCTGCATGCATAATGCAGAATTAGTAAAATGCAGATTAAAATACTTTTAGATGGGCCATGTCACAGCAGGACAAGCCAACTTTCAAACTTTAAATATTTTCATGTCATATACGCACAGGATTTTCATATGGCAAAGATTCATTGTGATTAACGGAAACATTTTAGCATAACGTACATAGCATACCAAGTACGTAAGTTTGCATTTAAATGTATACGATTTTCCCCCATACCATAAAATAATTTAATATGTAAATCGTTTGAGAAGCATCAGATATCTTACTTTGTCGCCACGCAAATATAATACAATAAGTCAAAACGAACCTTCCAGAATGTCTTGATTTTTTTCCAGTATAAACGGATATCCATCGGTGTTTCTCTGCGTCTCCGGATCATTCTTGAGAACTGAACAGCACACACTGTTTGTGTCCCGCCGAACAACATTAAGTTTGACCCGCCACCAAAACTTAAACGAAAGAACTTCTACCGTGTAAGAAAATGCGATATTGCTCATTAAAACTACGATAGTATTGCGATAGCGACCTCAAATTATTAAATATGAATTGTATTGGTCTGCGTGCGGCAATCTATCCTTCTGATCCAAAACCACAGCAGGCGTCGCACCAGATCGCACCACATGGACATGTAAGTTCAGTGAATCGCGCAAAGCCATTTAAAATAGGAGGTGTGGCGTCACGTGTTCTACGCATGCGCGCAATAAAGTAACAACCCATGTGCGTAAACAACTGCAATCGGGTCAAAGAGTAAGTTCATTGTTTATGGATTTTCCACACATATATACAATTTTATATATATTATGAACGCTTTGAACCACAAGGTGGATATAATCACAAAGTGAAATATTTTCATTGCCTTTCTGGGTCTATTTAATTAATTTTTTTCCTCTTCCTTTTTATTTATTTTTTTGCCAAATACTTTTTTCTTCAGAATTTGTTTACAAATGAAAAAAAAAAGCCGAAAAATAAATAAAAAGACAAATAAAAAATTATGCAGATAAATATAAAAACTGGAAAAAAGGGAAATGTAAAAAAAGTACAGCAGAATGCTAATAAAACAAACAGACTCAAGAACCTTATGTTTTTTAGGGCTCTCGTTATATGTATGCATATATTTATTAATTTCCTAGACACACACATAAGCATACATTTTTTTTTCCAGACTTACCAATGAGGTTTTTTGTGTGGCCTGACCAGGGGTAAGTCTTGCCAGCCGAGCCTCATAATTAGCCTTAAGTTTCTGGTTGAGACGTGATGCTTCTTCAATAGGCGTTAATTCCCTGTCATGCACATACAAAACTTATTACTGTGTACATACTGTACATAAGGGACAGTGAGACTAGAAGAACATGATGTCCTATTAACTTCCTTCATATGGATGCAGAATAGATTTGTTTTCTATCACAGAGCTGATAGCCTTGAAAGATCAATTGTCGGGGTAAGTGGAAGTGCACATAACCAATTGTGTGAAACGTGGGGCATCATGTGAACCATTATTTAAAAAAAAAAAAGACAGTGATGAACAACCATATGTTAAAGGTTCTGGACAGCAGCTAACAAAATAGAGATTTTTTTAAATAATACATTATTTATAATAGTTATTTAAATTTTAAGCAAAAGCTTGCAGTTTTTTTTTGTCTTGGGCTCTTTTTCTTACAGAGGCATCATCCAGATGAAAAACAAACTTGTTGACATTATTGCTTTTATGCTTTCTTAAATAGCTTTTTTTGAATGCCATCTATTTAAAATGAACCATCATATACAGTTTTCAAGTATCTGACAGAGGCTGTTCTGTCTCTTGTAAAACCAAGCATAATGTTCTTGGAGAATCTAATTTAATAAAACTGGGGCATTCATTATGGAGAAAGTTACAGTGAATTACAACACTTTTATTTAATGTAGAGCTCTGAGATGGTGAGACAATTTATGAAACACAATTTATTAGCCTTCAGAATTATATAATAGTAATGTATAGTTTTCAGTGTTATTTAATCTTGTTTTTGTTTGTTATCTTGTATGTCTTTGTATATCATACTATATCTTTGGGAATCAGATGTGAACGATCAATGGATATTGGGACTCTGTACCCATCATTCTGTAGGTTCCCCCACATGCTGTTATGCATACAGTGGTTATGAAACTCTCAATAGCTCACTGACTTACTTTCGGTTGTCTTGTGATTCCATTGACTGAAGCTTCTGGAAGACTTCAGGTGGCAGGAAGGGGGAGTCGGTCTTCCCTCCCTCAGAGAGGACTCTGCGATGTCTGGTGGGCTGCTGTCTACTTTGGGTCTCAGAAACCAATGCAGCTGCATTAGGTGTTTCTACAGAAAGAGGAGTTTTGTTTAAACTGAGATTAGGGCTGGGTAAAAAAATCGAATGCGATTTTCATGTGAATCTCGTCAGTAGTCGCATTCGATTTTTTGCACAGCCCTAACTGAGATACACTATCATTCAAAAGTTTAAGGTGGGAAAGATTAAAAAAAAATTTCAATAATTAATAATTTTATCCTGCAGGGGTGCATTAAATTGTTCCAAACTGACAGTAAGACATTTATAATGTTACAAAAGATTTCTGTTTCAAATAAATGCTATTCATCAAAGATTCCTGAAAAAAAGTATCACAGTTTTCACAAAAATATTAAGCAATAAAAACTGTTTCCAACACTCATAATAATAAGAACCATTATTAATAATTAAGCACCAATAATAATTGAGCACCAACTTAGCATATTAGAATGATTTCTGAATGATCATGTGACAATGAAGACTGCTGAAAATTCAGCTTTGTCATCACAAGAATAATTTGCATTTTAAAATCTATTAAAATAAAAACTGTTATTTGAAATTGTAATAATATTTCACAACATTACTGTTTTTTACTGTATTTTGATCAAATAAATGCAGCCTTGGTGAGCATAAGTGACTTTGTTCAAACCATTAGAAAATCTTAATTATTCCAAACTTTTAAATAGTAGTGCATAAATAATATTTTTAAAGAAATGTCTATATGTTTAATACATTACCCCCCGGTTTCACAGACAAGGCTTAAGCCTAGTCCCAGACTAAAATGCATGTTTGTTCTGTTTTAACTGTAAGAAACTTCATAGACACTCTGACTGAAAACCCCGAACAAAGAAAATCAAGGCTCACCTGTCATTTTGGGATGATTTGTCACATTAATAACAGGAATGGTGGTCTGCTGGGAAGCGGACAGAGGAGTGGAGGAGATGACGGGTGTTGGGGACTCTCGCTTTCTTATGATGCATGATTTAATCCTCTCTAAACATTGCTCAACTAGTTTCACCATTTTCTCCAATTCCACCGACTCCATCTCTGTCAGAAGAAGTGCATAAGAGTCATATGTCTCATTCAGCCCATGAAAACAGAAATTCAAAGGTACGATCTGACGGTGGAGTTACTTCTGCCTAATCAACCAGGCAAACTTTAAATAAGCCTGAAAAGTTCATTATGAACAAAGGTGAGATCTAGCCTGATCTTATTAGAGCTTTAAGAATCATTTAATGCAATCTACAGAAGCTAAGATACATTTGAACCTTGTGTGTCTTATCAGTAAAATGAATTGTGATGTCATGATGAAGCACACAAATCTGTGTGACACATTAGCACATACAATCGCTTCCTTAAAAGTTCTCTCTTGAAATAGGAAGCCAGTTTACACCACATGACAATGACTAATGCAGAGGAAATAAAATGCATTGTGAAATAACCTTTGAAGCCTGAAAGCACACATCACATTTGAATAGAAAGTTTGAAGGATGTCTAATTGGAAAACTAACTCATTTCTTAATTAAGTATGAACAACTTACGTTTAGATGTGGCATCTTCAAGCAAAGCATGAGAGATGTAGCTGATACTTCTCAAGTATTCACAGTAGGCCTCCTATAAAGGGATATAAATAATCATAGTGGGTGGCAGGAAGATTTTATTGGATGTGCTCTGCAACTCAGTGCCTTAAAGTTATGTTAAAGTCTTTGCTAGATGTCCTCTTCTGGTGTCTGGTGACAACCATTCACAAAATAAATAAATAAAATAAAATAAAAAATCAGAGACACAACATTATGTACCACCTAAATATTTTATCTAAATCTGCACTGAGAATGTGTATTTTCACAACATAAACTCAAACTAACACTGATGAATTTTTAAACACACTCTAATTTCATACGATTAGGAAACAGGTAATTACATTTAGTTAAGATCAAAAGGTAAACACTCCATATCACTGGATCCCGATCGACTGGACCGCAGTAGTTTTTCGGGGAAAATCATTGGGGTTCTCATGATCATCGGCTTCGATCAGTGTTTACGCTGATAAATTACGTCACTCTCGCATGCATTTATTGGATAAATATGATCATATCTGGACCAAACAGGGCAGGTTTAAAGATTTAAACATCTGTACCTTGTGTCTGTTGCCAGTATCCAGCTGAATGGCCAATTTTACAAGTCTCATGGCATTCTGCAGCGGTCTCTGACTGCTGTCACTTACAGGGGCGGCCATCCTGCCAAAACAATCGCCAAAATAAATAAATAAAATAAAATAAAAAATCAGAGACACAACATTATGTACCACCTAAATATTTTATCTAAATCTGCACTGAGAATGTGTATTTTCACAACAAACTCAAACTAACACTGATGAATTTTTAAACACACTCTAATTTTATACGATTAGGAAACAGGTAATTACATTTAGTTAAGATCAAAAGGTAAACACTCCATATCACTGGATCCCGATCGACTGGACCGCAGTAGTTTTTCGGGGAAAATCATTGGGGTTCTCATGATCATCGGCTTCGATCAGTGTTTACGCTGATAAATTACGTCACTCTCGCATGCATTTATTGGATAAATATGATCATATCTGGACCAAACAGGGCAGGTTTAAAGATTTAAACATCTGTACCTTGTGTCTGTTGCCAGTATCCAGCTGAATGGCCAATTTTACAAGTCTCATGGCATTCTGCAGCGGTCTCTGACTGCTGTCACTTACAGGGGCGGCCATCCTGCCAAAACAATCGCGTGAGTCCGCAACAAGCTGCTCTAGTGACGTAATTACCGCGTTTTCAAAATAAGAGGAGACGTAAACATAGCTTTTAAATAAACAAAGAAATACAGCTTGTATTATGATAGTTGTTTCACATTTTGGGGAAATGTCAAACAAGCGAGAGAAAAAAAAGCGAAAAAGCCTCTTCAAGTAATGGTAACCACAGACCTTAATTATGAACTAAAATATAATAAATATAACAATAAGGCAAACATTCAGAAAATAGGCATACATATTAAATAATTACAACAGAAATAAAAAAGTGGCTATATTGCTTATAACTATTTTTGTTCTTTTTCCCTGCCATTGAATTCTTTGAAATACCTTATATTTTGTATCGTTACAATGCAATAAATACAATGATATATGAATACGGTAATAATTTAATACGTATACGGTGTTATTTCAGTATTGTTTATACTGCATATCATTGCAGTATTTAGAAATATTTGCATTTGCTTTTATATTGTATTTTCATTTTAGTTTTTGTCACGTGCTTTTGTAATTTTTCAATAGTTTTTACAAATATTTATTTCTATATAACTTTAATGTTTATTAGTTTTATTCTTTAAGTAATTATAGTACTTCAGCTTAAACAGCTTCCTTAGATGCAAAGGCAACATTTCTAATTTTCAAGTTGAGCTTAAGTTTTTCTTTTCCTTTATTTAATAATGTTCATATTATTTCAGCTTTGTTTCAATTACTGAAGACTTCTTATTGTTAACAATAACAATATTAGAAAGTACCTGAAGATATCAAACTTAACAATTCTAGACAAAAGACCAACACGGCAGGTACAGTAAGTATTTCTTTTTAATACGGTCTCATCAGTTTTTACATTGGGGGAAACAGGGAACAATTTGCAGTCTCTTAATAAAACACACTTCCTCACTGAGGCCAAACACATACAGATGGAGAGGTTTATCCTTATGTGGCAAATTTCTTTTGTTTGATGGGTGCAGGCAACTGAGTGGCAATGTCCTCTAGAGGGCGCTCAACCACAACCAGAGACTGATCCGGCATCAGCTCAACACACAGGATATCCTAAAAGACAGAGAGTAAAGTTATACACTTTCCATCCAAAATTTCAGCGAAAAAAAAAAAAAACACATTTATGTGGCTCACACACACCTTGAAGGTCTTGCAGACTTTGAATGCATGGCTGTGAGATTTCCTCTGTTCCTCTGTGAGGCTCTTCAAAGTCAGCTGATTGTAGAACTGAGTTTTGTCATCAGGCAGTGGCTAGAAAAATAACAAACATATATATAAATCTACCGATATTATAAATATTAGGCTCTCAACTTTGTAAAGATAGATGACATTTCAGATATAATAAATAACAAAATTAAAATAGAAAGGAAAAATACATTTAAAAACAATTTTGTGAAAAAAATAATAGCACTTTTTGATTATTTGTTTTCAATAAGAGTGGCAAATGCTTTCTGAATACGAGTCTGTCTCACCAGGCTTTGGTCAATGATGCAGAGCATGTACATATCATGCAGGATGACATGGGAAGGATTTTGGGGATTGAACATCACATTGAGACATGGTGTGTCTCTTTCCACCCAGAGGCGATGAAGGCCCTTCCTCTGCACCGTCCTGCTCCAATCCGTGTACTGTTTCTGCTCTATGGAATACTCAAACATCTGTGGTGAACAAAAACACATGAGACCAAGAAATACAATCAAACCCACTTCATGTCACACTTTCACTATTCAATGGAGGTTGTCATAAAAGCTCAGTGATTACCTGTTGATCTGCATGCATCATGAACAGACAGTTTGTTGCTGGGTGAATGCCCATGGCGGTGACAGCAGAACTGTATATAGGAACTGTGCAATGAGCCTGAAACATAGGTCAACGTTAATCATCCATCTTCTGTCAAATGTATCTACAAGTGTATACAAACTAGAGGTCTACACGGAGGACCCGAGACCCGACCCGGGATCCGTACGGGTTCGGGGCTATATTTGAAATGGTCAGCCGGGTCCGGGTCGGGTCCCAATCTATTACTTCGGGTCCCGGGTCTGTTTAACATTGTGTGTAATACCCAAGTCGATCGGACTCGGAGAACACCCGGCAGTTATCAGAGTCAGTCAGCGCTGTGCGTGTGTTGTTTTGTAACTTTCAACTTGTAAAATTAGGATGAAAAAGTGTGAGTCGGTAATTTGAAATAAGGTGGAAAAAAACACGAGCGACGTCATAAGAAGCAGGGTGGGCGGAGTTAATGCACACGCGCCGTGATAATGGATACCTTCATGAGTGATGTGAGTTATTATTTATTATTTTTTAAATAATATTATGAATGAACCGTCTTGTTGTTATATCTAAAATTTTTGCTCAGACTCGGCTCAGAGAGCACAGAGATGATAGCAAATAAGTAAAGCTAACGTCAGCAGCCATGGCACTGGACGAGCAATCGTTATTATAATCCAAATGGGCAAACAGTCTAAATTATTATGCAAGTTGACTCGAGATACAAAAAATGCAAAACTGCAAAGTCGCATTTGTCATCCGTCACCGTGACAGCAAGTGGACTTTTGAAACTGGAATGAGTGGATTACGCATTTCAATTGGCAAGAGAGGAATAACACGGATGGAACTTTCTTGGCAAGGAGGATTGTGTGCATCACAGTCAGGTACAAGGGAGAAGGCTTCTTACATTAGGTAAGACAAAAAGTTTAATTTTCACAACTTGTTTATCGACTTGTTAATAGCAATTTGCTGTGGAATATGTGCCAATCGGGTCCAGTCGGGTCTGTGTCTTCTTCCGGGTAGGACATTTCTCGGTTCTGCACGGGCCCGGGTCCAACTTTCAAAATAATAGACGGGTCTGGGGGGTCTGGGTCGTTTACATTTACGGGTCTCGTTTTTTACGAATTTTACGAATTTTTGGACCCGTGTAGACCTCTACTCCAGTCTTCAGTGTCACATGATCCTTCAGAAATCATTCTAATA